TTATGTATTAAACTTGTTCTATGAATAATTAGTTCAAATATGAAGATTTTTTCTCTCTCATATTTCTAATTATTTACTATAAAAACTTCGAAAGACAAAATAATAACATCTTGCTGAGTCATTCATTTTATTATTTTCTCTTATGATATTTTGACTGGTTAAAAAAATACGAAAAAATAATAAAACTAAGTGAACAGTCAACGAATATTAGTAGTTAAATATAGAAAAGTGTTGTAATGAATGTGACATCTACTATCGATGGAAACTAATATTTGGGTAAGATCCGTAGAATAGTAAAACGAAAGATAGAACTATTTGCAGGTGATTCAACCCAAATAAAATATTTGCTAACGCCGGCAATAAAACATTCTGAACAGAAAGAAATGAAGATATCTTTTATTCATGTAAGGTTTATCTACACACAGAAATCAAATTTTCTTGCTTCAAAAAGATTTTTAATTGGTTAACTATTGTACGAACGAACTCATAAACATAGATCAGAGTTATCGCTTAGAAAAGAAAGTTTTTTTTCCAAAACCAAAAGGAGTTTTGAAATTTGTCTCTGTAAGAAACAGTTTTGGAATTTTGTAGCTTCTAAAACGTTTGAAAAGGATTCTGTATAAAAATTAAGGTTTAGCAAGTTTGAAACTTCTTTCTCCAAAAAATCAAAAAGCCATTTACTATAAGAATTAATTCTAAAACTCTTTTTAGTTTCGAAAAAGGAATCTTTCTTTTAGAGTGATGCCGGTGTATATTTAGAGACTGAAAGGAAACGATTATGTATTAGGAAAAAATAGGATTGAGTTTTGATCAGTGAGTGTATTTGAACATCTTTAATGTTTTATAATATTAATTATGTTGCTTATAATAATAAAGATCAAACTCAAAGATATAATTAACTTTATTCCAGAAACATAAATTTTCACATAGAAATGTGTCTTTAATTAGGAAGAAATCAAACATATATAATAGAATGAGTCGCAATTTAATCTTTTATTTTTCTTCTTTTTTTTTTTTTTTTGTATAATATAAAAGAAAATAGAATTGGTCAATTATGTCTATATGTATCTATTATGTTTAGGTTAAAACATGAAACATGGTTGGTTTTTTTACGTCTGAATATTTTTGTGTGATAGTTAGAATAAAGAAAAAGAACACAAAAGTTATAGGATAGAAAACATCTTATTTGAACAGAATTATGTGAGAAAGAGAAATTAGTCAGTTAAAATCGTGGGCTTTTTCCGATAGTATCCGGTTTATTATTCTTACTAGTAAGTTTTTAGTTTTGAGTCTCATTAGTGTGTACAGCTAAATAAAGACGGTATCGTGTACACTCTTTAAAAAACACGTATATTACAAAACCAAAATAGGGTATTTGCATTTGTGACCATACGAAACGCATTTCCGTTTTGCATTTAGAGTACAAAAACTCCTTCCGTTTTACAACAATTACAATACAAGAACTAGCGATGGATTCCAAAATAGTGGAAGCATTTTGCTTTATATTTTTCAGTCATTAAAATAAAATCTTATAACATCATTCTAGGGACAAAAGGCAAAGAGTGTGTTACATAATAAAACCTAACCGTTTTTTAATTATCAACATTGTTTTCTCATTACGAAACACCATAGAAAAAAGTAAATCTATGTATTAGGTTTTACTGAGATTAAATATAACGGGTGTCCCAGGTGAAATTACACTAAATCTTGCTGCATTTTTCTCTCATTTTCTATTTATAAAAAATATTCTGTTATATATCAAACGAGAGATAATTTAATTCTCTACAACATTGTATATTTATTTTTAAGATTCACCTTTGATGTTTGACACAGTAACTCTAACAAGAGAGGCTCCATATTTTTTAACTGCACCCTCAAATAATCAATTTTTTGCGCAGAATTTCGTTATCAATCACTTATTAAGCAAAACAAAGTATACCGAAAAATTCAGCAATATAATGGTTTGTTTTAATGAGACATATGATTTTTTTAGATGAAATCGGAGCGAAAAAGAGTCTTTGAAAAAGATCATTTTCGACTATTTTTCGGCTATCTTAGCGACATCCAGTATTTCCTATATTTTCAGGTAAAAAAACTTGGAAGTTTATGCATTAGAACCATTAACAATTGAAATAAATTAATTTCTCGTAAACTGTTTTATAAAGCATGAAATTCTTCACCATTTGACGACAATAAAATTATTTCAAATCTTTTTGTACTACATTATAAACAATTAAAAACGAGAGCCGTTTACACTTTAAAACTGCGCGTAGTACAGTTAAAAATGTGGAGTCTCTCTTGTTAGAGTTACTGAGCCAAACATCAAAGATGAGTCATAAAAATAAATATGCAGTCTTGTAGAGAATTAAATTATCTCTCATTTGATATATAACGGACTATTTTTTATAAATAGGAAATGAGAGAAAAATGCAGCAAGATTTAGTGCAATTTCACCTGGGATACCCATTAGTATAGTTCTGGGAATGGGAAGTAAACGATTGTGGATGACTTTAAATGTTCAGCATAGTTAATATGATCGAAACAGCATGACTTACGATTCTTTAGCTTTACTATGATTTTCAATCACGCACAAACATGTCAACGAACGTTTTCAGTAGTATAAAAAATAGAAAAGCCTAGTTAAAAATTAATCAATGAAGAACAACTATGTACGTGGTAAAAACTAAACGATGAAGTTGGAATACAATTTAACTACCAGTACCATGGCGAGAGCGAATAGTAGAGGAGAAATAAATTTTTAAGAGAAAGTCATAGAAGTAAGAACGATAATCTTGATATTAATTTGCATTGTGTCTTTCTTTCTAGAAAATGAATGGGAGAAAGATTTTGCTGTCAAATAACATGAGAGACTGGGAGAAACCATGTTTTCGTTAAATATTGATTCAGTTCGATATAAAATCGAGAGTCAGACGATATGTTTGAGAGAAAAGAGATTGTTAAAGAACTTTGTCACATTTCTCTTCTGTGGCTATAACAATATCAGCTGCTATTCTTTTCTCTATCGCGCCCACTACCTAATTACAACATCATACATGCCTTTACTTTTTTTCAGGATGTTATTTCAATAAGAGAACAATATGTATTGTCTAAAAACGATTAGATTTTATTTTAGTACGTGAAAAATAGAAAATCTTTTATTATTTCAGAGTCAGTCGCTAATTTTTGATGAATTTTTTAGCAATTGTCTTTTTCAAACTGATAATTTCCACGGTAAATTAAGTTTAAATGTTTGCTAAAGGAGATTTTTCCGGACCATCAATTAATTCATCAACTCTAGTAAAATGGGATTTTTTTTTTTTTTTTTCTATATATAAAAAATCTACTTCCGAAATGAAAGTACACCGCTTCTAGGTATACAGAACAACAAAATGTTAAAAAAAAAAAAATTTTACTCAGTTTAATAGAAAAATAGCTTTTACGGAAACGTTCACTAATTACCAATAGAAAAAAGAAATTTTTTCTATTCTCCATAATATGTAGATAGAGTGAATATATCTGATATTTAGTTGAATGAAAAATAATTTAAAAAAAAAGTTTAGATTTATAGAGAGGAAAAATAATATAACGATTAGTAGCAATTTAACATCGAACAGAAGTCAAAAGAATCCTAGTCTAAAATCAACAAGAAGTTAACATTATTTAATCTATTCTCGTGGTAAGGTAAACTAATTTATCAATAATAATTTTGAAGTTTACTAAGCATAGTAATCATATAGTAGTTTATAAAAGTATATTCAGAAAATATCTGTCTATTTTTTTTTTTATTTTCATTCGTGTACAATCAAACTATAATAAGCAAATTATTGTTCAATTGCTTCCGTACTCCTACTGAACAGAGTGATATATAATGTAAATAGGATTAAAATATTATCAGTCACGATTTTCTTTATATTGATTTAACAATTTAATATGGCGTGTGTGGTATTTTGCAACAAGAAGAGAAATATATTTGTTTTTATAGAAAATAAAATAGATAACATTTGTTCAAAGCTAATTTTGCGTTTAAGATAGTGTCTTATTGTCTATAGAATAGAAAAAATTGGTATTTTCAAAGAGAAAATAAGAAATTTGAGATCATAAAAAAATAAGAGAAAATGATCTAGTCGGTTTATCTGATATTCAAAATGGAATCAATAATAGTGTCCGTAAAGTAGAATATATTTTTTTTCTTTTTGTCTCTTTTACATAACAACTGTGGTGGTAACTATAAAATTATTTTCAATACATTTTGTGCACAAAAGTAAAAATAAATTTCAAAAACTTTCTTAGACTTGGTGTCATAAGAAGTTATTTGATACAAATTAATTATAATCGTGATTTATTCCCTATAAAATTTGTTTTGTAAGTACAGTTTATATGATCTATCGTTTAAAATAAGACATCTTAGAAAAAGTATCTGTCTCGTTCTTATACGTTAAAATCTATAACGAAAAACAAAATTGTCCAACGAAAGAAAGACTGAAATTCTTTTTCTATTGAACGATATGTTAGTTTCAAACATTCTAGATGGGCTTTCTGCCTTTTTATCTTTTAGTTCATTCAAAAGTGTTTATTATCATACAAAATCTCGATGTATGAAATTTTGAAACATTTAACAGGATTAAACACGAAAATTTTTGTTCTCTTATTATTAATTGAACATTATGCAAGGAAATGAACGAGTTAGAAGGAGAAGGTTTCTCTGGAAAGAAAACATTTCCGCTCTTGCGAGCACAATGTCTAAAAAAGAAAAACAATCGGATAATGATGATGCTCGCAGTGATACTTTTTATTTTAGACACGAAATTTTCCTCTTTCTCTCTATTTTCTAGCTATCCGTTCTTCTTTTTTTCTCTTTTTGTTTTACGTTTCGAGAGACAAGAACTAAGGCAGAAAGATATTTAGTCTCATTAATAAAGGAATTGTGAAAATATAGTAATCATCATTACAACTCAAACAAATTGTGGGTGGTTTTTTTACATATTAAGATGTCAACTGTAATGATTTCACAAAGAATGATTGTTGTCAGTCTATTACTTATTGTATTTACATTGATTTTACAAACGATTAATGGTCAACCGGTAAGTAAACTTAGAGAACTCTTTTTACTTTTACTAACAATGTTAACCGGAAACTTGCTCTATTAAGTTAATTCTGTTGTTTAATAATCATTTATTGAAAATATCATTTATAATCATATTGTTAGTCGACAATTGACATGATCTAAAGTATTTTGAACAATCAGCAGGGGACAACGAAATATGAGATAATAAAACTAAAATTTGGTTAAAAGTGGAAGCAATTAGTATTGATCTCAGTCCTCTATATCATCACTCAAAATATGTTTTTTTATTCTGTGGTTACAAAATAAAAAAACATATTTTGACTGAAAAATATATTTTGACTATTGGGCATAATTTAGATTCATCTGGTACACTTCATTTATTATTGTTATATTCAAATATGATCTCATTTTCTTTAGATCTTGGCTGTTGATGATGCTGTCGTGAGTTTTGATCCCGAACGAGAACAACGATCGTTGACTGAAAATAACGGTGCGCTTCGTGTAAAACGTGACGATACTAATAATAACAATATTTTATCTCTTCTATCACCGTTAAACTCTCTTTCTCTTAATGATGTTGTTGATAGTGATGTTCATAATTTAATACAATCACATGAGAATAAACCATCAAATTTTTTTAAATCCACAGGCTCTTCAAGACAACTTCGATTAAATAAAAAATTAAGAAATGGAGGGGTATTTGTCGATAATAGATTAAAACGATTTCGTATGTTGGATCCGGAAGAATTTCATGAAATGTTACAATCAATGCATTTATCTCACCCTGAACAATCAAAAGCTATGAACGGTGTTGACACAATTGGAATGCAACTTGAAAGTGAGAATATTTTAGAAATATTTGTTTTCAAAAAAATAAAATAGGATTTTGGAAAAAATGAATTATAATTATATTCTTTTCTTTTATCTATTTAGATTACTGGTCTCGTAAATGAAAAAACATTCATAACCCATTCAGCCCACAACAAGATCCAAATTTTTACTATATGAAACTCTTTGACATCATGCTTAGTTACTCTTCATTAGAATATATATTTTTGCAAAGTTCAAGACGATTATATTCATCATCGACCATCAACGTTGAGCCATCGCTATTCAAAATGCATGTATTGTTTTATATAATTCACGAAATATGTCGATTAAAAATAAAAGTCTTGTTAAATTTTGCCACTAAATCAAGCGGTAGACAACAATCTTTTTTATGTTTATGCATGCAGAAAAGTCAGTCTAATCATATGTAATACATAATATCGAGGCAATGATTAACAAGTTTCAATTTTCATCTTTTCTGGGTATCTGATCAAGTCCGAATGAAAACTATATATATATATACATACATACATAAAAACTAATCATTTATTCTGAGTGTAGCTAGTTTTCGCTAAAATTTGAGTGAACCACGGATGTAGTAGCTATATCATACAGTGACAGGACCCTATTAGATACAATTATGAAATAAACTAACAATTTATACAAGTTGAATAAGAGTTCCGATAACTTTAACGATACGTTAATATTAGTTATGTTTTAATCTCTCAGTACTAGATCATTTTTTTGAAAATCTGCACATAAGAGTTAATTTTTTGTTTTATTTCTGACATAATTTATTTTAATTTCTTTGAACAACACATCTAAGGTCAAATTTTGTATAAAAACAGTTTAAAAATGTACAAATATTGATTTCTCCGTAAATTGCATTGATCATTTTACATCAGTTCGGTCATGATTCTTTAATATTCTACACCTTTGTATAAATCTTCCAAAGTCTGTTTGTATTTCTTTTCAACAGCATAGCGTCGAGCTTTGAAAGTGGGAGTTAATAGTCCATTTTCAATCGTAAACGGTTCTTTAATAAATCCAATTTTTTTCACTTGTTCATATGACATAAGACCACCCTTTTTACCCCGTTCAGTCATATCTTGAAGAACAGCTTCTTTTAATTTTTCACTATCATGATTTAATTCTGTCTCATCTATATTCGCTTTTTTTGCCCATTTTTTAACATGTTCATCATGTAGAGCAATAATAGCAACCGGAAAACTTTGAAAAGAATTTCCATAAACATATATTTGAGAAATAAAATGTGATCGTCCATACACTTCTTCAATTTTCTCAGGTGCAATATATTCTCCCTGTGATAACTTGTACATATTCTTTTTACGATCAATTATTTTTAATGTGTTATGTTTTGTCCATTGACCAACATCGCCAGTATGCAACCATTCCTTTTCATCAATAGTTTCTCGTGTTTTTTCTTCATCTTTTAAATAACATTTGAATACGGCTGGACTTTTAAGACATATTTCTCCAACACCATTTTTAGCATAATAATCTTTTTCAGGTACATCAATTAGTTTGAGATAATTAACTGGTGTAGGAACTCCGACTTCTCCACTAGCCATATCGGTCAATGTCTGCCAACAACCTAAATAAAAACAATTTTTATACCACAAGAAAAGTTTCCAACTTATCTACTTACCTACTGTACATTCTGTTTGACCGTAGGCTTCAATAAAAATACATGAAAATGCTGCTCGACAAAAATCAGCAACATTAGGTGATAAAGGAGCACTTGTTGATACAACACGATTAATTTGACCACCAAAACGTTGTCTAATTGCATTAAATAATAAATAGTCCCAGATTGTGTTTGGATTCGAATTTCCACGACGCATATGAGCCAGTTTTGCTTTAACAGCCAATTTGACAAAACCACGAGCCAACAGACCTTTTTTTCGTGTTTCACTCATTACACGGTCATATAATTTGTTTAATAGACGAGGTACCATTGTTAACAGTGTTGGTTTGAAATCTCGAAAATCATCCATTAGTTTATCGACTTTTCCTTGCCAGAACCCTACCGTACCTCCCAGATAGGTAATTGCAATACATGTTCCACCTAAACAAAAGAACAAATGAATGAATAATGGTCTTTGTTATTAATTGTACAATGACGCTGAACTTACATCCGAATAAATGAGCAAGAGGCATAAAGTTGAGCACACGCGGTGCGTTTTCACCCATTAGCGATACTAAGTCGACGGCAACGCTGACTCCTACCATTGAGCATATAATACCTTCATGAGTAATTACACAACCTAGAAATAATCAACTTTAGATGCTTTGAAAAAGCATAATTTTTTTTCTTTTACCTTTTGGTTCACCTGTTGATCCACTCGTATACCTGAAAATTGAAAATATAAGTATTAAATTGAAAAAGACAAATGATGATTTTATTCACGTACATAATCATTGCTATGTCAGCCGGAGTTGGTGGAACAGGCTCATGTGGATTCTGTTTTCCACGTTCAATGAGGCTTTTGTATGTAATAAGTTCAACTTGTTTTTGTTTTGCCAGTTCTTTCAACTCATCCGTTACCTCGATTAAACTGACAATTACTTTTAATGTTGATTTCTCTTCTTTCCATTCTAGTATATTTTTCACTCGTACAAGTTCATCAGCAAATATCATTTGTAATTCGGCATGTTTAACAATGAATTTGACACCATCTTTGCCTAATGAATCGTATAGACCAACCGATACAAAAGAAAATGGCCACAATGCATAAAGAAACATAACATAATTAACATTAGCCGATCCATAAATGCCAATAAATGTATCATTGGTAGGTTTCAGTCCCATATCAATTATTCCACTTCCAATTTGATGAATAGTTTCGTACACTTGTTCATATGTATAATGTTGGAAGGGCTCTTCGGAGGACTTTCGGAAACAAAACAATGGTTTTTTTGCATTTGAACTAGCACCATATTTAATAACTTCGTACAAAGTTTGCACATTGAATTCTCGATGATCTTTTAAACCGTGAACATAGTCTGGATGGACATAGATATGTTCTTCTGGGTCAATTTCAACAGCACTTATTGGCGGTATACACGGACGATTTCGAAATTCAAATATATAATAGATGACAACAATAATAATCAACGCAATGATGGCTGTTACAAACATTTATGTTTCTATTGAATCAGACAAACTATAATAAAGTATAGCAAATCTGTCTTTTTTCGTTTCAAATGAACTCTCCATATAGTATGATTTTGGAAGCTTATACCAAGAACATAGCTCAAAATAGTTCTCAACGACTACAAAGTGTAGAAAATAAACACAGGGACTGCTAGGAATCTTATTTCATCCACTTAACGGATATTCAATGTTAGTGAGTTAGAATAATTCATAGTCTTCTATGTTTCACGTATTGTCTAACAACATCAATAATTACTAAAAGTTAAATAGTATACACCAAGTACTCCTCTTTTTCTCTTTGAAAGCACCTATTAGAATATGATGATGATGATAATGTCCCTGTTTACTTTTCTATACTCACCACGTTTTGTTATTGTTGTCGTTGTCGTTGTTGTTTTTGTTGTTGTTTTTGTTGTTGATGATATTTCAAAAACAAAATAATCGGCAAGTTCCCACGATAAGTGTTATAGAATTAATATTTTACTACATATCATAGCAATGTTCTATCCTTGATAAGACTTTTATTGTATAAAAATAATATATTAATGATGTGAGCTTAAGATGCCGACTTATTTTTGAGAGTTTTATTCTTTTTCTTCAACAGATAGTAACCATCTTACTTCTCATTTTATAAAACGTTGACGTGTAGATATGTCATATCTACAATTATTTACATAGGTATACGCATGGTAACATCGTGTGACTACACATATACAAACTAAAAATTGTTTGCTCGTAAAACTTCCAACAATTTTTTCTTTTTCTATCAATTAGTGTAGAAGATGATCATTCCCCAAATGCATTACCCAAAATAGAATCTAATATTAATTTATCGTTATTTTTGTTTTTCAACAAAAAGATGATTTGATATATAAAAATTAGTGTCTCTCTCTTTAAATATTTTTATTCTATTTTTCATATGAAAAGAAGTAGGTCGGTTATCAGTGAATGTATATGTGCGTACGATATGCGATTATAATGTTTAAACACAGTTTAAAGTCCAGTTAAAACAAAAAATAAATAAAATATCGATTCAATATTTTCGACCGCTATTTGAATCGAGTGTTGCTGATAAGATTCCTTACAGTGTCTCTTTGAATTATCATTTGCTTTGATAATATATATGATACATCACAGTCTGTCGTACTCGACAAAGCTCAGAGTTAGAGTCTTCCTAATTATTGAAACACGATTGATATATAATTTCTCACATACAGGAAAATAAATGATACTAGAAAATATTTATCTTTTTTTTCCAATTTATATAGTTAATCAATTAAACTTCTCAGAAAATGTTTCTAAATTTTGATAAACTTATGTGTTCTTAATGACAGTTTCAAAATTAATTGTGGAAGAATAATAATGATAACCGAAAACAAACTCTTTTTCATATTTGGAATTGAAAAATAACTTTTGGAAATGGACATTTTCGACCAACTTTCTAAGATAATACGAGTAAAAAAGCTGCTTAGTAACAGGTGAAAAAGCTGAGATTAAAAAGAATTCTTTTTTTGCTCTACGTTTGACGTATAAAACAGAATTTTCTTTCTATTCGACAACGAAAAACCGATATGACATGATTTTTTTAATATAACAGTTTGTTTTTGCTCTACATAGATTATGCCAATTTGCTCTACATTGAGAAGGACATTGGACTTTAGAAGAATTAAAATCAAAATTCAAACAGTTAAAATCGCTTCCTCCCCTAAGAGTGCTTCTTCCATCATTCGATCGATATTTAACGACCCTTTTCGTTTTATTTTCAATTGTTTGATACTACTATAACGTTGTTGTTTGTATTTTTTTCTTAGCAGTTTAAGTTTTTTCTTCTTTCGTTTTATTTCTTGCTGTTTGTCATCTTTATACCATTGCATGAAATTTGGATAGGCGGGTGATAGATATCCTTTCTTTACACAAAGATGTTTGAAAACATAATAGGCACCATTGTGTCCATAAACATACCAGTTAGACAATATTTCCCAATTTCTTTTACACAAACATAATTCATAGCAAATAATTTGACACGGTCTTAAAAAGACTAAAATTAACGTGAGTAGAGTGAACAACAATACGACACTAATTAGGCCATATCGCACTATTTTTTCATGTAATGTTTGAGCAATAAGTTTATTATTAAGATCATTGAAGATAAACTGGTACAATTTTTCATCTGAATTCAAATTAACATCATCGCCGCTATTGTATTCAATCGGTTTCATGTGATCACTAAGCGCGTAATGAAATCATTCAATTATAGAAAAATTAGCGAAAAGAGTGTGAAGTGTTTGCTAATAAAATGGTGAAGTAATTATTCTGCTCATTTTATTTCATAAAATCGTTGATGTTGCATTTCTAATTAGTTAAAGTAGACTGTTCATGAATTATTATGATAAAATAGCTCGGGACTTATCATATACAACAGATAAGTATAGAAAAATTACAAATTTCATCACAATACAATTAATTAGAAGCAAGTAACGCCTATCGTTAGAAAAGAAAGGAATCGCATGAGATCGGTAATCGGCCTACTTTAGTTTTTGCCTGATAACGGTTCTATGAGTAGCAGAAAAGATGAAAACCATTCTTTCTTAAGGTCCTCCCCTCAGAAAAAAACTTTTTTGTCTTACATCCAATTTTGATGCCACTTTCAGTACATGTTTGCGATATCAAAGTGTAATTATGGAATTTTTTTCCTCTCTACCTCCTACTGTTCCGGGGTTTTCCAGAGTCCAAGGTTAATAACCCACCTCTACTGTGAAGTACTTCTTTTAAATATACTTTAAGCTGGAAATTTCGGATTGGTTTTATTTTAAACTAGATACCTAACTGTGTGGGCTGATGGTTTGATTTAGAACTTTGTTGGTTTTCTAGAGATCCAAGATCCTCAAAACCCGAAACAGCCTTTCGGATTTTTCAGAGATTCTTGATTTTCTGGAAAACTAAGTCCTAACTCAAAACTCGGCTCCTATCAGCCCACGCAGTTAGGTATCTAGTTTAAAATAAAACCAACCCGAGATCTAGCTTAAAGTATATTTAAAAAAAGTCTCCCACACTGGGCATGTTCGAACAAAAAACGTGTTTTGAGAGAAAATGCTGTGCATTCATTGGTCTATTTTAGGACATATAGGAAAATGCTTGTAATTTTCGAACGCAAGATCACACAGAGTTATGCAACCTCTTATTTTGATCAGAAAAGTCTGTTCTACAAATCTACCTGTTCAGAAAAATTTTACGTGCTTAAGTGTCCAGAAACAAATTATTATTTAAAGACACTGGTTTTCAAGGCTTCTAGAAAACTTGCTCAAAAACCACGAAAAATCAGTTCTAGGCCCGAAAGTGATACAGATTCTGAAAGTAGACACTCCATGCTATCTTTCCATGTGCTTGTCTGCAAATTGATTTTTTGATACAAAAATATTTCATTCTAAGGAGGGGATCCTTAAGTCAGTCACTGTTTTACAGTTATCTCTAATGTTTGAGATTCGAAGGAAGAATAGCACACCATATATCTATCGTTATCGGTTTAAGTACCTTTACGGCAGTAGGGCGTCCGGAATTATCCTACATTACAACACATTAGACAACCTTCGTTTGTGTAGCCCGCTTTCATCTCCAACAAGAAAACATACATTTTTCTGTTATATACCATTTTGAAGCTCACGAGATTTGCACACTCATAAATAGACCTATATACTTTGTGTTATTTGCCATTATAAAGCCCGCCAAATTTTCTACAAATTGAACTATTTAAATTGCCTTGATTAGTTTCTGCCACTTTAAGTTTAGGCGAAGGACTGGTTTTGCCGGGCGTTCTAAGACTGATATTAGGTTAATTCAAATAACCTCGAAAGTAAATGCAAACATAGATTATCAACTATGCTGAATCTCGCGTTGCTGAACGTTTGTTTTTAGAAAAAAATAAGAAAACTTAGTGAGTTCCGAGAAAAATACTCTAATTTGAGCTATAGTACAACACTACAAATCACAAGTAATGGTCGTCTCGCAATCCACATAGCCCATTGACTGTAAGTAGGTTGCAGTGGATTACTTCACACGGAAAGAAAATTTGACCTCGGCGTGAAAAATTTTAATAAGAAGGATTACAGACAAGATTTTTATCGGCCGATAGTCGTCTGACTCATCTACATGAAGGTGGGTAGTATCTTACACTGAAAGAGAGACTATGTGTTGTTGATGCACCTTTTTGAAATCTCACTGTCTCAAGATAGTAGGGATCTCAGATAAAGTGTCATCGTCTGAGGGGTCTCACAAACTTTCGCGGGATGAGGAATATCACATGCACGAAATCAGAAAGACTCTAAGCGGAAAAGTACAGGATTCAATAGTTCTATGGAAATCCCGGCAACCGATAGAAATCTGCAGCATTCTAAGATAAGTTATACATATTCTATTCTCTTTCACTCGCTCTCAATGCCCATCTCCCACCTCCCCACGTTGGCTAAGTCGAATTCGACGAAAACTCCCAGATATCCCAAAAATCCAAAATATCCCCAATGTCTAACAATATTATATGAAAGCTTGTTTTGATCTAATTCGTCTGTTGACATGAAAATTCCGTCCCAATCGAGATTATGCCAGCCATCATTGTTCAGGACGAAGCCAGAAACAGCATAAGCGAGACAGTACAGCGTTCAATAGACTTATGTAACTGACGGTAACGGATCAGCATAATTCTTAGGAAATCTATAGAATATTCTCTTTTCCACGGACGAACAATAACAGAATTCAAGAGTTTTCTAGCATTCTAGAAGAAATTCACAGAATTTCTAAGAAACCGAATAAATCAGTCGATAAACTGAAGAATACTGCAGAATTCTAAGCAAACCTAGAGAATTCTCTCCGTTTTGTAGATGACGTTAACAGACAGACAACATGAATTTGTATTTAGGGTGCGACATCATTGTCTTTCAATCAATGAAATATCTAGCTCAAAATCCAGTCACACCACTTGGAACATTCAGAAACTGCTATCTTATTTGGTTCACACTAAACACGATTAGAAAAGTAGAAACTTTTATCTGCATACCTTCAGGAATATCACCAGATATATAGATATTTAGATTATGAGGTAGATTGACTGAATACATAGAATACCGAAACAACTCCTAAAGTAGTCAATTATTTTACGATGCGTTTCTCGAAAGCTCTGCAGTCTTGAGGGTATGTAGGTAAAAGTTTCTACTTTTCCAATCCTGTAAAGTGTAAACCAAATAAAATAGTATTTTCTGAATGTTCCAAGTGGTGTAATTGGATGTTGACCTAGATATGATTCTGTAGTTTTGTATGACTATAGCTTTGTTGTTTGAGATGAAAGAGAGCTACACAAATGAGGGCTGCCCAATGTGTTGTAATGTAGGATTATTCCGGGCGCCCTACTACCATGAAGGTACCTAAACCGACAGATATATGGCGGTTTTGTTTCATCGACTGTTCATAAATCATGTTTTTCATCGACTTTCAACAGTAGATCGTTTTTTATTAAATTTCCAATTTCAACATACAAGTAATTAAAAAGAAGCAAAAAGCACTTTAAAAAACAGATAATAAAATACATGATGAATGGAAATCACAAGTTTAAACAAACAAAGTAGCAGAAGAATTCAATGAATAGATAAAACTTCAATTTTTATTTCTTATGAGTAACGATTTTTCACTTGTTATCTTAGTTACTATCCAGCTTACTCAATATATAGCAAAACAAAAAGCATGCTACGCAACCATGATTATATGTATGGATTTTACAGAACATGATTAAAAAATACCATTGAGCACAATCAACTAATCAAAAATAACCGCTGTTGTTTCCTTCAATGGACATTAATTCGTTCTAATGCTTTCACCGCATCGAATGGCAGTTCTTGATTTAATTCTTTGTATAGTGACTTAAGAACGTGCAATTCTTTTAGCAATAAATCGACACGATCATTTAGTTTATGATTTTCTTCAGCTAATTTTGATAATTTTCCTTCTGTGTCTTTTTGTTTTTCTTTTGCTTTCATTCTTGACTTTTTAACAGCTTCATTATTTTTCACTCGTCTATCATGATATTCGTTACTATATTTTACCACCTGTTTATTTCCAAATCGAGCCAATTTTCGTACTGTTCCACCGCTTTTTTTTATTTCAATTTGATTTAAACCGTCTCTTTCGCCACGACTTTCTTCTTCATCATCGTTGACAGAACGGCTATCCATTGAATCGTCAATGGATGATTCGATTGTTGAACGACGGTTTGTGTTGGTTGTTGACATTGCCGGTGTTGCTTCGGATAATGATGTTGACGGATGAGGCAAATCTTCGGTTAAACCTTGTTGTTGATTATTTGGATTGTTCGTAATATCGTTGAATCTCATTTCAAGTAATTCTTCAAGAATATCAGATGCTTCTAATAAAACAGGATTACCAAACCAAGTATATCAATATAATTCTCAACGTTTAACTCTAAATTATTGTTTACTGTTACGCATAATATTTCTTCAAGAATCAAATTATTATCAAATAATTGTAATTCAGTTGATTTTTGTTTTGCCGATATTGGCTGTTGCTCTTGATTAGTGTTAAAGACGCCTAAAGGTGACGCGTTTAAGTTTTGTATCTAAAATAGTGAAAGATAAATATTTGAATTCTTAAAGATTATTCCACAATGTTAAAGAAAAACGGGATAGTATGAACTTAATTTTGAAAAATTGCGTAGTAAGTGTAAAAAAAAAACTGCTGACGAATGGGATATTCTGCAAGAAATTCTTATTAATGAACATTGACACCTTTCGTAAATGTGAAAGGTTCAGAAAAAGCAAATACAGTAGTTTATCTATAATAATCTATCAAATCGGAAGACATAGGTGATTTCTGATGTAATTCCAATATTGGCATCAGATCTTAGTGAAGATTTTTCGGTATGTATAAACTGCAACATAATTTTTCTTCTTCTTTGTTTGTAAATAGTTTAGATATAAAAACCGTTATGAATTCTGTCTGATACATCGAATAAGACAATATGAGTTTTAGATTTGCTAATTTTGCTATCGATAAGAAGAAGTGGTATATTTATATATTTATGCCCGGAAAAAAAACTGAAGATTCCTCGCAAACTTCGTTTAGGTGGACACGACAAGAGGGAGTAGAAGAGTTGTAAAAAATGTATTTTGTAGTTCAATTTAGACAAAGATTGAAATAAAACTACAGATATAAATAAGTCAGCCAAATAATAATAAAAAATAAACGGAGGTATGACGCATAAGCAAAACAAGTGAATGTTGAAATTTTGAATATATATGTAACGAGAAGTATTAGTGTCCTTTCTAGTGAGTTTCGCAATTACAACAACGCAATTACCACCCTGTCGAGACATTTTCTTTTTCTTCAGTTACAGAACGCAAGAAAAAAAATAAATTCAAACAAAACAATCACTGGTCGACGTTCTTGTGCGTATTCTTGCAAGATTCTTGTTTCTTGGCATTTCAGACAAATATCTTGTACAATATTTTACATGTATTTTTATCACAAGAACCTTGCAGAAAATCGCTTTCTTGTGAATTCATACAAGAATCATGTCTAAAATGGCAAGACGCAAGAATCTTGCAAGAATATCCACAAGAACGTCGATCAGTGAAGAGTTTGAATGAATCATTTGCTCGCAGTGTGCACCAGGGCTCAAAACAGGCCAGGCAGGCTGCTTGCCTGGGCCTGCCTGTTACAGACGCTACAAATTATCGGCTTGCACCAGGCTAAGGCAGACCAGGCTTAGATTGAAATAGATTCAGGCAGACCTTTGAAAACACTAGGCGGCCTAGCCTAGGAAATTTGCGTATTTTTATTCATAATCTTTCGGCTGTAGATGTCGTTATGATATGGAAGTTCACACTGTGAAACTATGTACTAGACTGAAATAGATCACTAAATCCTGGCACGGTTGAGGATATCTTACTAGTTAGATCAGTTCAGAAAATACTTGAACAAAAATCAAATTTTTTTACTTAGATATATTGTTTAGTTATCTGTCACTTTTCTTTCCATCTTATGTTACTATTATTTGTACATTTTATTTATTAAAAACATTACCAGGCATCTACAGACCAGGCCAGGGTAAGCCGACAGCAATGGCAAGCAGGCAGGCAAGGCCCAGGAAATATTTCGACAAGCCCAGGCAGATCTAAACATTACAGGCCTGACGCAGGCAGACCAGGCCTCAAAATTGTCGGCCTGTTTCGAGCCATGGTGTGCATCGCCTTTTTCCCATTCTATATCCTCATACATTTCATAGTGCTTTGATATGTATTTTGGGAAAAAGAGCAAATAATAATATGAGTTATTTTTCACATTTTCAGAAAGAAAAAAGAAAGATACTTACTCTAAAAGATTCGTTTGTTCATCAATTTAGGACAAATATCGGGTTCTCTATTGCATACATACTAAAATTGGATCGACATATAGAGAAATATGGCAGTATTCTATACGTTCGTTAGAGTTATGATAGCGTTTAGAATGAGTTTTCGGAGATGTCTTCAGTTACAATAGAGGTCTGAATTTAGTTTCTCTCTTATTTGTTGGTTTTTATATACTTGATGTATTGCATCATTCTTCCCGTTTTCATCAGTATATTTCGCAGTTAAGTAATTATGCAATTACGCAGAAAAATTATCATGTACGTGTTGATCGCAGAATAGAATCTGGGGGGGGGGGGGGGGGAGGGTGTATAAAATTTTGATTGACAAAATTTTTTTATTTAAAAAATAATCCCCAGTTAAAAAATTTTTTTTAACCAATTGTGAGCCAAATTAACCCA